ATAACCCTTGCGGTTAGTGCCCAGTTGAAACGTCTCTGTTGCATGTTCCCGGGCTGTCCTACGGCTGTCCAATGAGAAGAAACACTAAAACTTATTGGCTCGCACTTACGATCGCCTTTGTGTTCATCTTTATGTCTGTAATATACTTCACTCCCATTATGCAGACACAACATCAGTTAGCCGGATATCGGTCTTAAAAATACACATCGACCGATCAGCAGCATGGCTGTCGTAAAACCGCAGCAGCCCGCGACAGCCGACGCCTATCGCATGACGTCACGAGAACTAGCCTCAGGTCGGCTGAGCAAACTTGCAGAGCCTAGTCAAGCCGCCACTCCCGTCTGCACCGCTAGCAGAAGCGACCGGAGACAACGAGGTCACCGCCAGGACGGCGACACACCCCTCTGGGCAAGGTGAAGCGGCCACCTGCCGATGAAGCCCGTTCACCACGCCGCGTGCAGAGGTGCAGGCGCGGTGTCACCTGGGACGCCGGCGGGTGCGTCACCTGACCACTGCGGCAGCACACGATGCACGTGATTGCGTGCGTGCGTGCGTGCGTGCGTGCGTGCGTGCGTGCGTGCGTGCGTGTGTGCGTGCGCATATGCGGACGTGCGTGCGTACGTGCGTGCGTGCGTGCGAACGTACATGCATGCATGCAGGCGCGCGTGTGTGCGTTTGTGTGTTGGAGAGGGGCAGTCAGCTGTCATGCATCAAGAAAAGGGTGACGTATGTGGCCACACGTTGCGTCAAACGGCCGCACGCGAATGGCAGCATCTCGCCAGCTGGCCGGGTAGCTCGGCCGAGACCCGGCGTGTGTTCAGATGTCGCGCGCCGATGCAGTCATGACACAACCGCGGCGCCTGACGCGTCACGCTGGCGGCGCGCCGTGCCAAGGCTGGGTGGGCCGCGCGCCTACGCGGCTCGCCTCAGATCGTCAGGCCGCCGCTGACAGCGCGAATGAAAGCGATGGCGGCCGCAGCCAATGGCGCTCGGGTCACGACGACCTCGGCCGACGGCGACATGGCGCGCCGCCGGTGACAGGTCGGTTTGGCCGTGCCGCGATGGGTCGGGCACACGCCACACGTGCGCCGGAGATGAAACCCACTGAGAGCGGTGATACATGTAACCAGTATGTACATGCAACATCACAGCCTGAAGTGTTTTACAGCATGAGTTCAGGGTATTGGAAGTGCGTCTTCCTTTAGGTTTGAGTCGGTGAAGTTATCGCCATCTGATTGACAAGCCGCGCTGTCAACATAATATGTTCTTGTCCGAGTCCCCTGAAACGTTCGCTGGCTTCTTGGTATGCCATGAAATGTCCAAAAAGCTTCGCTTTGCGTTAGTCGGATAGAAATGGCTTGTTATCAATTGAATGCATGCCTTGGAACATAAAAAAATGCGGGAAAATACGAGCTGTCAAAACAATTGCCGAACTGTTATTACCATTTCTAAAGAAGCCTTAGTGGCGAAGAGACACGGAAAGCGTCAAGTCTGCATCTTACGTAAAGCCACACCGAAGTCAAGATTAGCGAGATCTATAAGGTGAGCATCAATAGGCCACCATCTACCAGCAGCGACCAAACATCTCCAGGCCTCATCCTGTTCTCGTCATGACTAGTATATGTTACATAGTGCTCCATCGCCACCTCACCTTTGACCTCATGACATATCCCGGGGCAGAGGTTGTAAGTGACCTAACATGCTGCGTTCTTCCGTGTACCTGTTGTTTTTAGTCGATTGACAGATGTGTGACAGATGTATTTAAGTAAAACATTTTAATAGCAGGATTACAGTCACTATTATTCATGTCAAAATGTCATGGTTCAATACGATTGGTCGTCATCATCAAGACACCGTCTCGTACGATGGAACAGGGCTTCATTTGACAGCTATATTACCTATATCGCTCATGGCCAGCAAGTTAATGGTCATGGCTCACACACTTCAACACGAGCACAAAAGTCTCTAAGCGCAAACAGGCCAGCTTACAAAAATGCCAAATCAAGCGATAAATAATTTTTTGGTTCCGTATGAAAAACACTGTCGTACAATTGCAGAGGACATGCAGACTCCATGCTATTCCATAGCGGCTTACTCTGACGAAAATCAGGCATCCTAAGATCGAGAGAATTTCTGCATTGTTCTGATGCGGGTAGTTTTTCAAAGTTAAAGCGAGCGTCACACGTAAAGGAGTGGTCTCGGATCGGCGAAGAGTCTGGGTTAGACAGAATGTTACCCGTACGGTCAAAGCTTCCCAAATGTTGCTACGTACGGGTAATGTAGAGTCCAGGACTCTACATTGCAGACCACGTAACTTTGAGCCCACGCCACACTGAGCCCGTACATGCTCCACTCGCTAACATTTATAATTTTTCCATATATGGGCGATACAGCAATGCTCTGCATCTTACGATTTTAGAACCAGTGCATATCCACCTGAAAAAGCCATTAAAAAGTGTGACGTCTGTATAGCCTCTGCAAATTATAAGTTAGTCTCTTTATGCTGAACCTAACTAATCTTTCGTCGCGTCATTTTGTATTTCCTCCAGCTGACCTGTTTGCGCGCAGGGAAGTGCTGTTCTCGTGTTGAATTGTTGTAATAATAACTGTGAACTTCCTTTCCATGAGCGATATGACTGATATAATCCAGCGACGTTTGTGACAGATAACCTTGTTTCATTGAGGAAACATGTGTCCTGATGATACTCAATAGTATTAAAACATGACAGATTGACGTAAATGATAGCGGCTGATGTCCTGGTCATCCAGTCTCAACTTCTTTAAACTAACCAAAAATATCTTATCGATCAGATATACATACTATATATATATATATATATATATAATATATATATATATATATATAATAAATTTGATTGCTGAATGACAGAATTCAACCTCCTCTCCCCTCTCTCGCTCTCTCTCTCTCTCTCTCTCTCTCTCTCCTCTCTCTCTCTCTCTCTCTCTCTCTCTATATATATATATATATATATATATATATATATATATCTATATATATATATATACATATATTACCGTCGCAGACGCAACTTAACATTACCGAAATCTGGGGATCCGGGAAAAATAGGGTTGTACAGATATTATGATAGGCTCGGTCAATCTTATCGGCCCCTCCCCAAACCGATTTCAGAAAGTGATGCCTTGCACCCAACTCAAGATTCCCGCAAAGCTCCTGTTTCCTGTGTGCTTGGAACGGAATGTCATTCTTGCAAAATATTTTACGGGCCAATGCGAAACAAAACTAACCTTGGCATCAGTAACGCAGATATCGGTGGCCGAGATCCGAGTGAGATCACGATTTGGGTGTGGATTGGTCAACCCTGTCGGCTGAGCACCCCAGCCCACTTTAAAAAGTGTTCTCCTCTGCCGACGCTGAAGCATGTGATAGCTTGCAAAGGCAATGAGCCTTCGGGTACCTGATTCCCGAATAAGGCGACTGAAAAGCACTCACATTTTCCAAAGTGTCATAATTTAGGGCTGCTAGCACTGCAATGCATGCATACAATGTTTTTTCTTCGGACGTTTTGAAACCCACGTGTGGGCATGATACTTTATGATATACTTTATGATACACTACATGACACTTTGGCCACGCCAAGTAGCACTCCTTAACTGAAAGCCTCTGCTTTTATTTTTAAGCAAACTTTCAAACCTCGGCGGCCCTCTTCAAGCATTCTGCGGAGGGGGTCTGAGGCATTCTAGCTGCCCTACTGCTCCTTACACCCGCCAGCATGAAAGGATAGGAGCAGTGATATACTCTGCTCGAATGCCTATTTAAGCTCCATAATCACACTATCCGAACAGCGTTCACTTGCGGAAGCTAACACACCAGTGGGTGAGCTGGAATTACTGGGCTTCCCTCGGCGCGGTCCGAGCGGGGCTTTGGAACGGCTGGCACGAGAAGCGGCACATCTCTCTGGCAACACAATGCTGCAGTGGGCTCAAGGCCACGTTTGCACCATCTCTGGGTCGAGTGGCTCCTGAACTGAAGGGTCACGTGACGGAGATGGATTTTTCTCCAGTCATTCACGCGCGGAGCGCGAACGGTTCGAGACGCGGTACAATGGGGCCTCGCGCGCCATTCTGACGGGCTTCAACCTGATACGCGGAGATGCAATGCTTGTTCTGCTGATGTGAAATGCGCAATGTCGAAAGTCGTGACACGGCGCTCGTTTTTTATCTGCAGCCACACCGGGCTTCCCGCGTGAAGCCCTGCGCCGCTCTCGCAATCACTAACAAATGGGCTACTCGCCGTGTGCCACGATGGATGGAGTCAGGCACTTGCAAGCAGTGGCCAAAGCAAGCTCGCAAGCATAGAAGCATGTTGGTAATCGCATTTGGTGTAATACATCAATACTTCCGTAAGCACAGCCCCATTACCAATCCCTGGGCAAGGTCACCGATCGTTATGCATCATCTGCTAACGCGAATGTAAGCAGCGCTGAAAAATATGTCTCCTTTCCTTTCGAGCGTTTCGACGATAGAATATTGGAAAATATAATGAGGTACTACCCTAGATTAAATAACATTTTGTTAACAAACCATGCTACGTCGAGCACTCGAATCTTCACGTTGTGCTGAGGTGGTCGCTGCGCATATCATCAGTTAAAATTGAAGCGTTCGCTTAGTTTGTGTGCCAGGTCATACGCTGTGTATTAAGATGACTTTCAAGAGCTGTCTTTGACACCTTGGGAAAAGGACACCTTGGCATGGGTTTATCTGATTTCGGAAACTCTGGAGTGATTTCTGCTCGAAATGGGACAACTGTCGAATTCGCATACCAGCATAGGCAATGTGCCGATTTCGTCACTTACTACAGCATGCCCATTATGTAAATTTCCGAGAAGATACCTATAAAACCAGGAGAAGGGAACGCCGACAGCTAGGCTGAAACAGGAGTGAACGGTGGCGCCGCCGTCTAACTGTGGTGGTTGACAGCCATGACCAACGGGCTGTCATGTAGGATAACCAGCATGACAAAATAGCATTATTTTGTATTCCTGGCATCAAACAGCAAAACAGTGTTGTCAGTTGTACAAAGCATCAATATCGTCCTATAACAACACCATCAACAGCGAGCTCGCCCGAGGGCACCACGTTCCTGCGCTGAAGTACAAGGCCCGCGGACAATCCCCATACAATACCAAACTCAAGTTTCACAGAACTCTACGGACTCTGCAAGCACATATGGATGCAAGACAGGACACCAACAAGCCCCCCGCTGCTCTGGAAGCATGGGGCATTCCCATCCATCCGTTCTCCCGGCTGAGTTGTGCCCGGCGCCCTCCACAGCGACCCCATGCAGGCCGACCCCCACCGCATCAGCGCATGATAATCTAGATTTGTGGTTGGTGAGCGTTCTCCTAGCTCGCCACCCCACGCCCCCATTCCAACCCAAGCGGCACACGTTCACCAAGACATTAGCGGAGTGGCGCTGTTGACCGTCGTGACCAGCCACAGATGGTGTCCGGGCACCGCTGGAGTCTGCTGGGGGCCGTCTGTCAATAGCCCGTAAAACCGCCCCTGGTCCTGACTCGTCAACAGCTCAGGACTGAGACAATACTGGTCGAAGCCAGTCTCTAGCCGGGCCGGCGCTAACTGGGCGCCGTCTGCGAGAGGTGGCGGATGATGTCGACCCAATCCCAGCCGCGCGCGCGCTCGCCGGCGCCGCCGGCCTGCGCGCGGTCCCAGGCGCGCCGCTTCTGCTGCTTCGATAGCTGCTCCCGTTTCTCCTTCCGACCAGGACCGTCCTGTAACAGAGCGGCGCACTGAGGGGAAAGCGGTCCAGTCGTGGCAGCCGCTGTGTCACGACTGGCGGCCTAGGAGACGGGGCAGGCGCTAAGACAGCAATGCACTGGGGGAGAGCAACCCCTTGGCAGTCGCGGTGTTACGACTGGCGGACAGGAAACGGCGCAGGCGCTGAGAAGGCGACGCACTGGAGGAGAGCAACCCCTTGGCAGTCGCGGTGTTACGACTGGCAGACAGGAAACGGCGCAGGCGCTGAGAAGGCGACGCACTGGGGGAGAGCGACCCCTTGGCAGCCACCAGGGGACGGGGCAGGCGAAGAGCACTTGGCCTGAGTGGAAAGCTAGCACACCAGCCCGCAAAAGCCCGAAAAAAGGTCAACAGAAAACGTTAGCCAGCAGGTTGACAGTCAACACAGCACGATGTCCACAAGGTCCTCGAATGGAGGTGGGGCACCATGGTGTCGGCCGCCAACCGTCAGATCTCGGTGAGATGTCATCCACCTGGGAAAGCACACATGAAGCTTTGGCATATTGGTGCAGTAAAGTAAACTGCAACATGTGCTTGCAATCTGGTACATCAGGTTTTTAGTGAGTACTTTGAGTTCCCCCAGCAAGATGTCCCCACAGGGACCCAAACAGCATTACAGCATAACAGACCTGTGTTATACTGAGCTCCTCCACCTCCTCGGTGACCTCCGCCATCACAGGGGCCAAAGTCTGTTGCTCCATGAGGTCTGTGACATTTTCCTTGACCCACTCGAAGAGAGTAAATGTCATGGACATGCCAAGCATGGCCTCAGCCTGCTCCTGCACCTGGCTGACCACATGCTGCTTCACTGGTGGCAGGACTGGCCATGAACAAAGGAGAGTGAGTCAGTGATGTCTTGCCATAGGTGTACCAGCTGTCACAGACCACACTGTGCTTAATAAATACACCTGCCAATCCCAGTGTAGACATAGCTCTGCACAAACATATCACACATGCACTAAATCCCATCATTACAAGACTCATTGATACTCTCAACCAGCAATGCTGGTAGTCATGGAGGTTGAAGTAAACAATGACACTTTGCCTTTGCCCTCATTAATTTACCATTGCTACCAGAATTCATATCCAGTAATTGCCATGTAACAGCATATACAAAATGGACTTCTCACAATGCCACTTATCACAACACATGTCATAAGAGGAAGATTAACAGATAAAAGCAAGTACAGTAAACTTCCAAGCACATACTCACATATGGTTGTTATAAATGCATCAAGGTTGACATTTGGGAGCCTCATCAGGGTAACTGTCTGTCCATTTCACTTCAACCAAGAAAGATTTGTTTTCACCATCATCTCCAAACTAAAAGAACATGAAAAAATAAAGGTGAATTAGATCAGCAGCTGAAATTTAACAGTCAGCCACAGCATATTCCATCATGTGGACACAATTTTTGTGTTCTGCCTTCAAAATTATAACATATACATAACCTTCCACAAAGCAGCAAACAACCACATAGGTTATCATAAAAAACATAGAGTGATAGGAATGTGCCTCAAAGTGTTCAGAGGCATATTATAAATATTAACACCAAACATTTGAAGATTATGCATGACATAACTCAGCTAAATAGAAAAGTCCTGATGAAAGCTGAGTCAATTCTATTTGTCTGTAGTGTTACTAAAGAAAGCCAGCTGCCTCAAGAAGGACAGGACTTAGAGATAGCTGGGACCTGAGGCTAATACTTGCCTTATACTGAAAAGTTTTCTCATCAACTTCAATGAAAGCTGCATCACCTTCATATATTGATCTAAGGACTTCCAGCTCCTCAGCTTGCATCTCTGATGACATCTTGGTAGCTCTGAAAGAATTAAGTGGTCATGATTATATGAGGTGGCTGTTAACCATGGCTCATGTACCCTGTGACATCCACTTTGGTACAGAAGCAACACAAAAACACATTCCATGACATGAATGGTTTCAGGTGCATGTGCATGAGTATATTTGTGGATAAACAAATTCAACATTGAAATAGTACTTAAGCCTAAATGAGATAATAGATTCTGAGATATTCAATAGCACTATGCTAATTTGTATAACATGACAAAGCAGCATTAGCATTTTTAGATCTGGCATTTAGCAACGTCCTACTTGTGCTTGCCCCCTTTTGAGGAATATGTGACCCGTGGCCCCAACTCGGCCCTTGGCAACTACCAGCTAACACAGCTCTGTACTACAAAGTGCGAATTGCTCTATGGGGCGCAGTGGTTCCTAAATTTGTATCCACACACTTTTTCAAACACACCGTTTTTTCTACAAGGACCGTGTTTTTTCCCCACGGTTCACAGCTCTTCGGTACCCTTTGATGCACGTGTGCCCATTCTTTGAACTGGCACCTACCCTGAACCTGCGGATCTCAAAGGCCACGTCTCTCTAAAACGCAGCTCAGCAACCTGAGTATACGTGGTGTTCTAATGCCCCGGATATGCGAGATCCGCAAGATTTGAGTGGCTTTTTTCAGGCTCGACCCTTTACAAAACAGCTATTTTAACAACTGTAAAAGCTGGGTTTTCGCGATTTTCGCCCGCATTTCAGATGCCCAGGATGAGCAGGATCGACGAGTTGCAACAAGGTATGAAAACAATACTAATAAGTATCATTGGAATAATGCACCAAAAACTCTAGGAAAAAATCATTTTAGCACAAAAACTGTGCCATGGCTGTCCCCCAAAACTTGCATTATACCATATATTTGAAAATAGAAGAAATGCTAGTGGTGACGAACATGCTCCAAGTCAGCTGATTCTATGTCAAAGATGCGGTATATATTCTTCTACTTCAATGCTTTTTGCGGGCCCCTGCCACCGACCATACAATGGGCGGGGTGGGGCACTGCCCAGGGTAGTTAGGTTTTGTGTTCTGGGTCCCACTAGTTGATTAGGTTAGGTGAAGCAAGGAGGAAGCAACAATATGGAATTTCTGCGGAATAATTGTATCTTGTTCCCACTTTGACCGCATTCTGTGAAGCCAGGGTCCAGCGATCCTGTGTGTGACATGCAGGTCAGACTGCCAGAAATGCACGGTACGTCGGGTACGTCTGGCGATATCAGCAATATTGCGGCAATACTTTCGGGTTATGTGCGTCGTAAATGCGAGCATTCAGAGTTTGGTGAATAGTCGCCATTAATTTCAGCATGCAGATTGTGCTGGCAAGGAGTTTTGATGTATGAGTAGTTTTGTGCTAAAATGCTCCTAAATTATTTTTATGCAATACGTAATTGTATTTTCAGAGGATAGAGTGAGATGAGTATTGTTCTCCTACCATAAGGCTAAGCATGCTGGAAGGGCTTCATAAAACTAAGAAACCTAAAAATTCAAGTGGTTATTTATTCCAAAGCATTGATATTTTGAGAAAAGAACAATCTTAATGTTCCCACATGCTTGACTGCTCAGAAGGCATTCAACAATTCTAAGATGAATTCCTTGGTTGACTGATTTTGCTGCTGATGACAGGTGTTGAACAAACAAATATGCAATTAACTTGTGAAGCTTCTCTGAATGATTCACCATAGCTTCCAAAGATGCCCAAGTCAAAGATACATGCAGTGGCACCAGAGATTTAACCAATATTGGCAAGGGTGGCAGACCCTGTAGAGCCTTGTCCTACTTCTACTTGGGGTCAAAACAATCATGCTACTTTGTTTGACCCCCAAAAATTGATGGTACCCCCTTCATTTAAGCATTCCTGCCATGCAAAGATAAAGCCACAGATGTTCTGATGTGAAGGCCTGTGATTTTGTCTTGTCGTTGCTTGGGAGACCAGTGTGCTGTCACTGCTTAGGATTGCCCTTCAGCATTTGACATCCCTTATATCAAATCCAGTTGGAAGTCCTAGGTTGGCACCACAGTGATACTTTTTTTGTCAGTGAAAAAATAGTGCTCCTTTATGTAATAATGCAGCCTTGACCCTAAGAAGTTGCTTTTTCCAGGTATCAAATGAGTTAGTTGTCTGCTCCAGCCATGTCTTCTGAAAAGAAAACATCTAAGAAGGAAGCAGGCTTTGAAGGAATGGTCATCAAAGGTGTGTGACCTCTGTATGGATACATGTGCAATGACTATTGGGAGTGAAATGCAGTTTAAATGACCCCACTCACCAGTGTTGTGTTCATCATGGTAGAAAAACAGAAGCAGAACAGCATGTCTCCTCACCACATATCCTATGACATGCTCTCAAACATAATGAAGAGGATACTATCATATAGCTTGCCCATGAATGGCATCAAGCTCACATGGAAAATGAACAAGAAGACCAGCACTGACACATTGTTCACATACTCCAGACTTGTGTTTTTTGTGCATCTGGTGATGTTGGTCATGGTCATTCTTCATGGGGTGCACAGAGTGCAGTGGTATGGGTGAGGCCATCACCTGAGCATCTCCTTCCACATGCTCTTCATGTCCACAGAGCTGAAGCAGCAGCTGACTGAGCAGGTGCGGTGTCTGGACACACGGGCTGACCACACAGCAGCGACTGCTGTTTGAACTACAGGTAAGCAGACAGTGGTGAGTAGGGTGTCAACATACACCTAGCTAACAGTGCAGGCAGTGCTGTTTTTTAACTTCAGATGAGCTGGTGTCAGCACATTAGCCACATGAAGTCAAGACATCAGCATTCCTTGTTATGACACAAATTTCAGGAATAGTTCAATTATTTTGCTCATATGATTCTCTGTTATTAGTGTATTTGGTGTCCTTTTGTAACTTACAAGAAGATTTTGCACATTTTATTGGCAATACATGGTGTGAGGTCGCGTACTGACTGACTTGACTGAAGTTGGTCATTTTCGCCAGAATCGAGACACCCATGGCTCGGGATTCAGCTCAAACAGACGTAGCCAGGCAGTATTATTTGACTGCATTTAACAGTCTGACTGCATGACCAGTCAGTGGCTAGCGCGTGGCAGGTCTCGCTGGGTTATTCACTGTCGAGAAGAAGGTGGGGCCGGCCCAGTTGCTGACCAGGGAGGGGAATAGGTCTAGATATAGGTCGAGGTCTAGGGCGCCCCGAGACCTCGAAGAGTGGGAATTTTTCGCTCTTCAGGCCAGGCTTTCAGAAAACTGTCCGGTCCTTAAGACTTGTCTTTCTGAATGACCTCGCGCCCGATCAGCCTCCGGCCGGCCCGCACGCGTCCAGGAAAGGGTAGGGGCTACCAGCCAGCCGGAGCGCGTGGTCTAGCTGTGGGGGAACAAAATGGACCTTAAGTATCGACAGCCCATGGGCGGGAGAAATCAAGAACGACTGTTTCTGAAAAGGGTGTAATGCGGGAATCCGTGTACAAATGATTCATGACGTCGCGTTAGTTTTGTGCTGTTTCATTCAAGCTGGTAACACACATTATTCTATTCGATAGCAATCGGTCCCGTTCATCACATTTGGAAGTGGTCCACTTGATTGACTGAGAAAAACGGCATGGCCCACATGTGAGGGTCGTCCTGGGCAACTTTCGGGTTGACAAATTAATGATCAGCATGATATGTGAGACAGAACGTAGACCAGTTAGTCGTGAGCGGCGACAGGAGAAGCCGCTGTTCCGTACTAGCTTATTTTATTACTTGCTATTTATCTTTTGTTTATGTCATTTTGTTATGTTGTCATTACATTATCGCCCGGCTTTCCAGGACTTTTTTCGGCGGCGTGCGGACCTGGAGCTGGAGTACAGCAGGAATCTCGACAAGCTGCACAAGTCGCTCAGCCAACGGCACAAGGATCTGAAACAGAGGCGAGTCGTGATGTCACCACCTCCATTTTGTGGGGAAGTGGCTTACAAGCACTTGTATCGCCGTTCGCGCCCCTGTCTGAGCTGTCCAACATAGCAGGTGTTTGAGACCACGTTAACCGCCGCGACTGGTGCCCCAGAGTCGATGCCGTGCGCTAGCGCGCGGACTCTGCTGTCCCGGACGTCTGTGAGCTGGGTTTTGTGTCGACCCGCGGTGGCGCGCCGCCCGCCTGCCAGCCGGCGCCAGGGCGGTGACTCAGCTCTGCTGGATGCCCGCAGACGAGACCAAGCGCACCTCTTCTCGTCGTACAGCTGCTGGCAGCAGCTGATCCAGCAGACGCGCCACGAGTCGCGTGACCGCGCCACCATCGGCGACGTCTACTCCACCGTGGTGCCGCAGAAGCTGGCGCGGCTCGGCGACGACCTGCTGCGCGTGCACAAACGGGTGGGCACGGGTGCTCTGGAGGCTACAAGTGGTGTGGTGCGGACGGGTGGGGTCGGCCACTCACGCCCAGCGATATGGCTGTTTTGCGGGTGTGTTGCAGCCATGGGGTACGGGCGGGCCTGGCGTATGGAGGGTGTAGTGCAAGCAGGCTGACCTGCAGCTACTTGGCTATAAACGGCCACGGACTGGTAATGAACCAAATCACTGGCTCATAGTCCGCGATTTCCGTGGGCTGTAAGGAGGGCTTTGTAACTAGGACACTGCTGCAGAGTGATGTAAATGGGTCGAATTCATTGGCGCTGATGGGTTTTGACGTCAAGTTATCAATTGTAGCTGCTAAAGACTGAGGCTAGTGAGCAAAGTAGGATTTCAGCCAAAAGGAACTCTTGGTTATGACTAGTGCTTGTGGTTGTTGTTGATGCACATTCTGCAAGCGGTGTTCCAGCATTTCACAAAATTTGTATGCATATCTGCGGTGAGCCCAGGACTGCCTCAATAAGGGTGTTTTTTCTTTATTTTAGTGCCGTCAAGTCTGCACGATTCTCATGAAGAGTTGTTGAAGCTGATCAATGAACTCCAGGCAGCTACCAAGACGTACATGTACTACGCACAGTTCAGCACCGCCGAAGGTAAACTTCAGTACGTAGTCAACCAGAAGGCCAAGCTGGAAGTAAATCTGCCAGAAGAGAAGCTTGAAAAATCCAGGAAGTTCAGGCTGGTGGAGAAGGAGATTGTCAAGGTGGGTGGAACTACGTGCATACTGTCGCAGAGTGTCCTGATATATCCGGGGTACTGCACGGTCAATTGCGCTTCGATGGCTCCCTTTGTGGTGTCTTCATGAAGTATATGCAAATTACTGTGTCATGGGCAGCATGCACTGCCGTTGTTTGACTGCTACTCCGGGCGACATTCGGCCGGGCAGTCTTATGGCGTCCGCTAACGCTCTGCACTACCCGGCAGCGACGCAACAAATACCAGGACACGCGGCTGCAGGCGCTGCGCGCGCGCAACGACTTCATCCTCTGCCTGGAGGCGGCCAACGCGGCCGTGCAACACTACTTCGTGGACGACCTGCCGGACGCGTTGGACTGCGCCGACACGGGCGTGCACGCGGCGCTGGGGCGCGCCCTGCTGATGGCCACCGACGCCCAGGGGGCACCATTGACGGCCTGCGGCAGGGCGTGGAGGCGCTGACCAGGGCCGTGTCCGCTCTTGACGCCCGGCTCGACAAGCAGCGCTTCATCGAAGCCAACAACGCCTCGTTCATGCTGCCGAAGAAGTTCGAGTTCGTGCCGTATAAGGGAGATATTGTGAGTGCAGCGTGTTTCGGGTGGGAGTGACAGTGATTTTGCTTGGAGTTTTGCCGCCGTGGATTCATTTCAAGCCTTACACTGCTACTTTTCCGCGCTCGAAGGGTGCCGCCCCGGATATTTGACGGAGATTCACTGTTGTTTTCAGGTGCATTCTGTTGTGCTTTGGCTTCAGCTTCCTCGTAAGGCCTGACATTTGTCTTCGACGGCCCTTCACGATCTCGTCATGTCTTAACGGATCATCATGACGGCACGCGGTGCCGACTTCACTGCACTGCTGCTCGCGTGCACCTAGCTGAAACCCCTGACACCAGAGCTTTTGGCACTTCCCATAGATGTCGCGCTACGACGTCGATCCAGCGATCCTGGACGAGACGCGGCTGCGCTACGACGCGCTGGGTCGCCGCATCGAAGCGCTGCGTACGGCCACCGACGAGAGCAGTGGAAGACGATGGAGACGGCCGAGCGGTCCCTGCTGGAGATGGCCGGCACGGCGGAGATCGACTGCCGCGGCCTCTTCCAGTCGCCCAGCGCGCCGCGGCCCACGGAGACGGCACTGGCCAAGCAGCGTGGCGACCAGCTGGAGACCGGGCAGTTCTACGTGACGGTACGGGGCGTCACTGCCCGGCGGTGTCACGTCCTTTGCCAGTGACCTGGTATTGAAACAGCTGGCCCACCCATGCACGTCACCGCAACGATTATGGTAGCCTTAAGACGAATTTTTAGTCGTTTCTGGCATTTCTAGAAGCCCAGTCATGGTCTTTGTTACAGACGGCTGGAGACGGGACAGTGCCGCGCGTCTGCCATGAAATTGATGCTGGAAATGTTCATGTGGGTTAAAGTTTGTTAGATCAGTCAGCTTGTCAGAATCCAACCCCAGTTAGTCAGAAGTTTGCCGAGTTGTCGGCACCCCCTGAGAAGATTGTGTGACCGTGCTTGACCTGTCTCTCCTTGGCCGAGGTTTGCGACCGTGCTATCTACATTCTGTCCGGTACAAGTTTGTCAGATTTGTGACCAACTCTGACTCTGATTCGGACGCCCACCTGTGCGTCCCGAAGGGGCAGAGTGTTGTTGGACTCGTGGTTGACTGCGGGAATTGCCCTATCTCTCCCGCGGAAGTGCCGTGTTCGCGGCGACTCAACCCTGGTCCCCTCCGCCGGCAGAAGTTCGCAGAGTTCGTGGCCGACTCGAACCTGCTAGCGCGGCTGCAGGTGAAGCGCGAGCTGCTGCGCTCGGGGCTGAGCGAGCATGCGCCCGAGCTGGAGCGGTCCGGTCGCGCCGTCTGCCCGCCGCCGCCGCGCCGTAACGACTGGGCCGCGCGCCGGCCGACGGCCAGCCGCGCCTCTTTGGCGGCAGCCTGTCCGAGTACCTGGAGCAGAGCGGTCAGGACATCCCGCTGATCGTGCGCTCGTGTGTGCGCGTCATCAACCTGTACGGTCTGCATCATCAGGGCATCTTCCGCGTGTCCGGCTCGCAGGTGAGACTGCACAGGACGGATGGGCTGACGTGTCGGCACCAGACGCCATCAGGGCTGTGAGCAGGGGATCG